TGAGATAGAGATATAGAGATATATATATATATATACAATACACAAGATCTTGTGTATTGTATTATTTGGCCCCCAGCAGCACCCCCATTTATGCATGTTAAGGTGAGTGCAGCCAACCCCCTCTTGTTTTATATATATATATTATAATAATAATAATTAAAAAAAAACTAAAAACTGGAGGTATTCAGGAGGATAAATACAAAGTTAAGATTTGTTAGATTTAAATTACCGTATTCTCCTAATTGGAATGGCAGGCTTAGTTCAGTGTAATAGTTGCTATGCATTTGTTTCACGTTCTACTTTTTGGAGATTTGGTTGTTGTCTAATCTGTAGACAGTTCTCTATCTTGCGGCAGGAGATTGTATTTTTGAAGTCTGAGATTTGTAAATTATCTGGTGTAGAAACTCAGACTGGAACTGCTGCAAAGCCACTGCCGCAGAGACATGCTAGGAAAGGCTGGATTACTGTAGGATCTGGTAGACTTAGAGTTGTGGATAAAAGGCATTTTGCACAGTCTTTTGCTCTTCATAATTCATTTTCTGCACTTTCAGAGTGTAATGGTGTTGTGGAGAGAGGCACTGAGGCTAGTGGTGTTGTGGAGACCGGCTTGGAGACTATGGTGAGGCCTAATAGAATGCAGTTGTTGTTGTTGTTGGGGGATTCCATCATAAGAGGTGTGGAGATGGACAATGGTGGTCTTGTGAGGTGTCTTCCCGGAGCTACTGCTCACAGAGACAGGAGACGTATCTGTAATATTGTTAAGCAAGCAAAGCAGGAAGGGGAATTGGATATACTTGTCCATCTAGGGACAAATGACTTGACTTGCAATGAGGTTTCAGAGGTTAAGGAAGTTTTTAGTGTTTTTGCCAATGATATACGGCAGGTTGCTTCCACACTGTCATTCTCTGAAGTTCTGCCTGTGCATAACACTCAGAACGACAGGCGGATGCGTATTAGGGACTTTAATTTGTGGCTTGGTGAATGGTGTCGGGAGCAAGGATTTGGCTTTATTTCTCATGGTAGCTCTGTTTGGAATGGAAATAAACTGTACAAAAAAGATGGTTTGCATCTTTCTCAAAAGGGAATAAATGTTCTCAGTGAGCAGTTCCGAGTTTTTGCTAGGATGTATTTAAACTAGGAGGGGGGGGGGAAGGGTGATAAAACATCTATCCAATTGTCCCCCAAAACAAGGACAGAAGGAGCCTGTAGCAAGTGTGTTAAAAAAGGATAAGCTTAGAGTCATGTCTACAAATGCTCGCAGTTTAGGGAATAAGATCCATGAACTTGTGGCAATAATGGCAACTGATAGTGTAGATTTAGTCGCTGTTACTGAGACATGGTACAATGAGAAAAATGACTGGGACATAGCAATACCAGGGTACTCTTTATATAGGAAAGGTAGGGAAGGCAAGAAATGGGCAGGGGTGGCCTTGTATGTGAAGGATATCATAAAATCTAGCCTAATAAAAGTTAGTGAGGCTAACCTAGAGTCCGTTTGGGCTACGTTAGAATTTGGTAATCACACAGTAACTCGTGTAGGTGTGATTTATAGGCCCCCAGGACAAATTGAAGAGTTAGATAATCTACTAGTTGAGGAAATAGCTAAAATGACAATGAAGGGGAAGTTATCATCATGGGTGACTTTAATCTTCCTGATGTAAATTGGAAAACAAAATTAGCTACTTGTGCCAGGAGCACACATATTCTAAACTCCCTACTGGGATTGTCTCTAAAACAAGTTGTTGAGGAGCCAACTCGTAAAGAGGCCATACTAGATTTAGTGTTAACAAATGGAGATTTGGTATCAGATATTACTGTAGGTGAAAGTTTAGGATCCAATGATCATCAGTCAGTGTGGTTTAATATAAGAACAGTGACTGAGTCACACCACACAAAAACAAAAGTTTTAGACTTTAGAAAAGCAGACTTTTCTAAAATTAGAATATGGGTAGAGGAGTCATTATCAGACTGGAGCAATTTAAATGGAGTCCAAGAGAAATGGGATTATTTAAAAGTTGCACTATTGAAGGCAACAGAAAATTGCATTAGGCTTGTCAGTAAAAGCAAAAATTCAAGAAACCACTGTGGTACTCCGCAGATGTGGCCAAAATAGTTAAAAACAAAAAGTTAGCATTTAGGAATTATAAAAAAAACCAGAGTGAGGAAGACAAAATGATCTATAAGATTAGGCAGAAAGAGGCTAAGCAAGTTATAAGAGCTTCCAAATCACACACAGAAGAGAAAATAGCACAGTCAGTAAAAAAGGGGGATAAAACATTTTTAGATACATAAATGAGAAAAGAAAAGTAAAACAATGATTAGTTAGATTAAAAACAAAAGAAGGAAGGTATGTAGAAGAGGATAAAGGTCTAGCTGACTGCCTCAATGAATATTTTTGTTCTGTATTTACAGATGAAAATGAAGGAAAGGGACCTCAGTTGAGAAAAAGGATAAATGAGTCATTTATTACACGTGAGTTTACAGAGGAAGAGGTTCTATTTCAACTGTCAAAAGTAAAGACAAATAAGTCAATGGGACCTGATGGAATACACCCAAAGCTATTAAAAGAGCTTAGTGGTGTACTAGCAAAACCATTAACAGATTTATTTAACCAATCATTGTTAACAGGAGTAGTCCCAGAAGATTGGAAGTTAGCGAATGTTGTGCCCCTTTACAAGAAAGGTAATAGGGAGGAGTCGGGCAACTATAGGCCAGTAAGCCTTACTTCAGTAGTGGGGAAAGTGATGGAAACCATGTTAAAGGATAGGATTGATGAACATCTAAAACACATGGATTTCAAGATCAGAGACAACATGGGTTTACTTCAGGGAGATCATGCCAAACTAATCTTATTGATTTTTTTGATTGGGTAACTAAAATTATAGATCAGGGTGGTGCAGTAGACATTGCTTACCTAGATTTCAGTAAGGCTTTTGACACTGCTGCACATAGAAGGCTTATCAATAAACTGCAATCTTTAAGTTTGGATTCCAATATTGTTGAATGGGTAAGGCAGTGGCTGAGTGACAGGCAACAGAGGGTTGTAGTTAATGGAATATATTCGAAGCTTGGACTTGTCACCAGTGGGGTACCTCAGGGATCTGTACTTGGACCCATTCTCTTTAATATTTTTATTAGTGATATTGCAGAAGGTCTTGATGGTAAGGTATGTCTTTTTGCTGATGATACTAAGATATGTAACAGGGTTGATGTTCCAGGAGGGATAAGCCAAATGACAAATGATTTAGGTAAACTAGAAAAATGGTCAGAATTGTGGCAACTGACATTTTATGTGGATAAGTGCAAGATAATGCATCTTGGACGTAAAAACCCAAGGGCAGAGTACAGAATATTTGATAGAGTCCTAACCTCAACATATGAGGAAAGGGATTTAGGGGTGATTATTTCT